GCGGCCCGCCCATGGGGGGCGGGCCTCGGGGGAGCGGGAACCAAAACGCCAGGGTTTACGTCGGAAACCTGGCGTGGGACGTGGCGTGGCAAGACCTGAAGGACCACATGCGCGGCCTCGGCGGCGAGGTGATCAGGGCGGACGTCATGACGGACCAGGGGGGTCGCTCGCGGGGCTGCGGCATCGTGGAGTACGCCGAACCTGAGCAAGCCACGCAGGCGATCGAGCAGCTCAACAACTCAGAGCTCAAGAACCGCATGATCTTCGTGCGGGAGGTGAGTGTAGCAGTGTTTCGGTTTGTTTTTCTGTTGCGAAAAGGAGAATCGTCTGGTTGTCGGGTGGTGTGTCGCAACGACGATCGTGCGGGAGCATCGGAGCGGGGGCGAGATAGGTGGCTCGCTTGGTTGCTGTTGGCTTGCCGAGGGACGTGAGTTTGTTCCTCCTCCCCGCCACAACTGCAGTGACACTCTCTTGCGGTTGTGTTTTTTCGTGGAGGAGGTCACATAATGGTTTTCGTGCGACGGCTTGAACCGCTTTCTCAACTCTTGCGGCCATTATTATAGTCGCTTCTTATAGTTCAAAGCCTGAAAACAGAATCGGATACAAATCGGCGTGTCCGCCGCATGACCTCGCCCTTTGTCTGCGAGTGCTAATTTTGACGATAATTATTGGGAGGCCAGCGCGTAGACTCAACCCATTTCGCGTCACGTGCGTGCGGAGTGTTTGTGCGTCAGCCAGCGTAGTACACAGCGGTGTCTCGTTACGCCGCCGCCGCGTACTTGAACGCACGGGCCAGGTAGCGGCTGGTCTCATCGGGCCACCTCCTTTCTCCGGTTTCTCTATCCGCTCGTTTTTGTCGAACAAAAACTGTGTTCAGGACCGTGAGAGCGGAACTCCGGGGAGTGGGCACCACCACAGCCAGCAGCAGCTGCACCACCACAGCCACCAGCAGCAGCAGATGGTAGGGCAGATGCAGATGGGACCCATGGGGGCCTTCGGCGGGCAGCCGTTCGCGGCCGGCCCCGGCGCGCTCATGGGCCAGTCGATGGGGGGGCACATGCAGCAGATGCAGATGCACCAGCAGCACGGCGGGGGCGGGGGCGGGGGCGGGGGCGCGATGCCGCAGGCTACCGGCAACCGCATCTACGTCGGCAACCTGGCGTGGACGGTGGAGTGGCAGGAGCTGAAGGACCACATGAGGACGGTGGGGAAGGTGCTGCACGCGGACGTTCTGCAGGATGGCGACGGCCGCTCCAAGGTAAGGAGGAGGAGGAGGAGACGTTTGTCGGGAGGAAGGGAGGGAGCCCACGACTCTTCCATGCTTGTGGTGTAGTCGGAAGCGGCGTTGTGCATGTATGCGTGTGTTCCGGCCGCTGCTGCCCGACCATTTTTGTTTGTTGCTTGGAAAGGGGGTGGAAACGACGAAGGAGCAACGGGTAAGGAGGAGCAGGCGGCGGCAGACGACGTGGCGCGGGGAGACCCCGCGGTCGCAGAAGAACAGGATGCGCCGGTGGCAACGGTTGCGTTTTGGCAGTGTGTTCCGTCCTATTCCTGTCTCCCTCTGTACCTAAGGCAGGGCCTGTGGCGAATGTTCATTGTAATCCGGCTGTGTATGGCGGTCCGTGCCATTTCGAGGGAGAACCACCCCCACCCATCCCCCGCCCCCTCCTGCTGTCTTGATCGGACTCAACACATGTATTTGATTGCTTGTTTTTCGTGTCGCGGTATGGAACGAGCATAGGGCTGCGGCATTGTTGAGTACGAGGACATCCGTGGGGCCAACCGAGCCATCCGAGAACTCAACAACACCGCCCTGGGCGGCAGGCCCATCTTCGTTCGCGAGGACAGGGAGCAGCAAAACCCCCGCCAGAGGCAACGCGGCGGCGGGAGAGGAGAGATGGCGAACGGCGGCGGCGGCGGCCGGGGGGGCGGCGGCGGCGGCGAGAACCTCGCCGGCCGCCAGCTTTACGTGGGCAACCTGTCGTTCGAGACGACTTGGGCGGACCTGAAGGACCACTTCCGTACGGCTGGGGAGGTGGAGCGCGCGGACGTGATGATGGACGGTTCGCGTAGGTCCAAGGGTTGGGGCACCGTCCGCTTCAGGACGCAGGTAATGAAAAAAAGTGTCGCGCTTGATTTCTTTGCCGCGTTTGCTGCGAGGGGGAAATCAAGTTTCAAGTCCCCCGCGGGCTAGGATATGTTGGTGGGGTATGGTGCTTGTCAACCCTGAGACGACGCAGTTCGACAGGGCTAGAACCTCGAGGTTGGTTTTTGTCGAGAGCTGGTCGACTTCGTCCCGCCCCCCCGTCGCACTTGCGTAGCCCCCGTTCTTGTTTTGTCATCCTGCTCTCCGCCCACCTCTGGTAAATTGCTCCACGCGTCCTTCAGGAGGAGGCTCAATCGGCCATCCAGGAGCTGAACGGCACCGAACTCGGCTCCCGACAGATTGAGGTCAGGGAGGACAGCAAGACTGGGGGCGGCGGTGGCTCGTACCCCAAGGCGGGTAACGCCAAGGCCAGCGCCACCGCCGCCGCTGCTGCCTCGACTGACCCCGTAGGCGCGACTGCTGCCGCCGCGCCCGCTGCCTCCGCCGCGGTTGCTCCCATTAGCACCACTTCCTGATCCCCGTCGTCAGCATCGGAGGAGAACCCGAGGACTAGCCACGAAAGGGATGACGACTCGATGTCTTTCGAGGCACGAACGTGGAGCCTGAGCGCGCGCGGGGGGGGCGAGGGGGGGGGGCAGCGAGGGCAAATGCCGCAGGCGTGTCCCGGGCCCCCTCATCCCACCGTTTTTCTCCCTGCTCTTCCCCCCTCCCCCACCCCCGAGCGCAAAGCTTTCGGCCGTGTCAATTTGTACACGACTTATTCAGACCGTTCGTGGGTGGATTGGTGGAAAGGCTGTTGTTCTGCAGGAGAGGGTATGTGTCCTGTTGCTGTGGCGGGTCTTCGCCGTATCACCCCTATTCTTCAGGGCGGAAGGAGTATCATCAGCAAGGAGCGGGTGTTTAACGTTCGGTGTTCACAGAAATGATTATCTTGTTGCCTGTGTTTGTTGGGTGTTTCTTTTGTTCCGTTTGTGGCCGTTGATCGAACGAACTTCCGTGTAAGGCAGCCATTAGCCCACGCGAATTGGATTGAACTTTTTTGTGTGTATGTTTGTAACGCTCGGAGCGCGCGGGGGAGGCGAGAGGGGGGGTGCAGGGGTAACCTGACCACGGTTATTGCGCGTCTCGTCTTGGGGGTGTTTGTATGTCGCGGTAGCGAAGACGCGGAATATCCTTGCGTGCTGGGATGGCGCCTCAGCTCTTCCTGTCTCCTACATCTCGTCTTTTTTTTTGTCTGGTTATGGCGTCGCTCGGGAGAAAGCAGCTGAGCGCACAAGATTGGGGGCGGGGGGGGGGAGGCTGCGCGCGCCCTACCTGGTTTGAGGAATCGTGATGACTTGAAGGCAAAGGTTCATTTTGTTTAAACTGTTAACGGTATTTTACGTATCCCCCTACATGTGCCCTTTTTCCTACAGTCGTTTTTCAAACACGCAGCAGACCGGCCCATTCGTTGCACGCGGTACCAGCCTGGCCCGGATTGTTGGTTGCCCCGGGAATGGTAGAAATCGAAACCTGCTTCCCTCCCCCGGGTGCACACGAGCCTGGGTAGGCGCGAGAAGATGTACGGGATGCGCTGCAGACGAGGCATCTATCGCTGGTGGAATCGGAGGACCACTCTGTGATACGGTTTTTAGAATACAAGAGACTCTGACATCAGGTCACGACATATGGCTGTGCTAGTGTTGCCCCCCCCCACCCCCCTTCTCGTTGACCGCGATCCGGGGGGAGGGCGCACCGCATTTGAACATGTTCTGGTGTGTGGGGATCCTCCTTTTCGTAGGAGCAGCAGCAGTAGCCGTTTCTGTGGGCGTGCGTGTGTGTGGTGGTATCATAGAGTAGTCAGCCGCCTCGCTGAAAAGTTGCTCCCTTTTGACCCCCATCCTCTTACGGCACCTCAGGTCTGTAAGATTGACATGCGGCAGGGGGGGGGGGGGGGGGGGGGGGGGGGGGGGGGGGGGGNGGGGGGGGGGGGGGGGGGGGGGGGGGGGGGGGGGGGGGGGGGGCGATGTGGGAGGCTAGCTGCGCTTTTCGTCTACGGACTTCAGGTCGACTTGGGAAATCACCTACTGTGTGCCGATGAGGTCTTGTTTCCCTGGCCCGATCTTGCCAGCTCATTTATCTTTACTTGTCTAGGGAAGTTTGGAGGTCGAGTCCCAATGGCCTGCCTATCCGTATATCGTTCTTCCCTGAAATGCGATAAAAGAGTGTCGCTTAGAAGCAAAAGACGGTGCATGATGGCATGATGAACGGTTTTCTGGGGGGTCTGCTGATATCCCAGTTCTCGGAACGCCTGTGTGCAGTGTCGCCGTTGTTTTCATTCACTGCTGCTTGTGTTTTTAACTTTAGTCCGCTACGCTGCTGCTGCGTGCGTGCGTGCCGTTGTTTTTTTCGCACCGTGCTGTTTTTTTCTCGGAGTATATGATTCGCTGCTGTGCTTCCTTGGCCCTGAACATTCGTTCGCAGACACGGACTGACTGGCAAGAGTAGCGGTGATGTCAAAGAGCGGCCAGACTGTAAGACAGCCTCACTCGCGTACTTTCTCTGTCTTTTCTCTCCTCTTGTTTTTTTCTGTTATTGATAAATATCGTCTTGTTTGTGGCATGACATCCAACAGCCTGGGTGTCTTTTCCCGCGCGCGCGCACGCGGTTTGTTTCTTGACGAAATTATTTGGGTTGCTACGCCTTTTCGAGCCTCTTGGGTGTTGTTTGTGACGGAACGAAGAGAGCGGACCTGGCGACACTGCGTGTTCCAGTCCGACAAAAGCCTGCACTAACTGATGTTTCGGCCCCGGCTACCTCAGCGGGTTGATTTATTTTCGCCGAGCCAGCGGCAGTGAAAGATAGTATTTGATGGCACGATGATCACAACAAGTGTTGGGATCTTGATGGCAATTGTTGAGTCAAGGACAAGAAATACAACCAACGGTGGGTAGACAACGAACGCGCCCTCTTTGTTTCTGGTCCATGTACGAGCTCACGCATGCATGCATGTGCCACCTACACCAACCCTAGGGCGTCGGATATGGGCTGTGCCTACCAGGAGCAGACTGAGAGTTACATCCCTCCAATGCGGGGAAGGATGGATGGATGGATGTGTGTGTTTGGTCGGTGGTCGAACGAATTGAGAAGGCAGGCGAACAACGAATGAGTGTACCACACCCGCCCCGCAACGCAAAAGAAAACATCAACCCCTTTCGCCTCTAGACTATGATACGAACGGTGTACGTGCGTAGGAAAGGTGAGACCGTTATTGTGGTTGCCGAATGCTCTCTAATATTTGCGATTGATTGCTTCCAGACCACGGCACAATGTAACCAACCACCGAGTGCGTGGCCAGGGCCGCGTCCGCGGAATGAATCACGTCAAAAGATATTTCGCTTGTTTTTTTGTGATTCTCATGGATTCACTCGCTTTCAGGTATATGCATACGGTCTGACTATTTGTATGCTGGCCCTGCTGGTTGTCGTGAGGAAACCCTAGTTGTCTGTAGTCGGGGTTTGTCGTTAGTCTCGGGGTCATCAAAGTAAACTCCGTTGAGATTTGCTTGCTTGGTGCATATCTACAGAACGCGCCAGCACTCACTCAAGAACTTTCTTCTAATGATGTATAGCAGTCACGACCATGAGCCTCATTGAATCACAAATTCAAGAACTTGTCCACAAGAACAGGTGCTCAGTCCCGCGTGGTATCAAGAACAAGAACCCGCCTTCGTGGTGTACCAATGCGCCTATAGATAAGAACGGAGCCCCAAAGCACGGCAGCTGCAAGACAAGCATGCAGGATGGTGGGGGGTGACCCCAACATCATCAGCAGTTACTTCCACATTCGGGGCGAGAGTGTGTGGGCACCGCGTGAAATTATTATTGTACACACGGAGGGGGGAGGGAGGGAGGGAGGCGTTCTCATGTTTTGCATGCCGTAGTAGTTAGAACATTAACCACGCGTCCTCGAGGGGACGGAGCATTGTTCCCACAGGACCGATCACCGATGGCCAAATAGTTCCTCCCTACTGATTCCCCAAAAATGTTTTCCCGAACCTGTCCATCCTTCCTTTCGATGTCACTTCCCGCCTCTTCAACCCACTTCGTATGCCCCAGTACAGCTACCGCCTTCTCCTGGCCATTCCATGCCTCAAACATCTCCCTGTACCCTCCATATACTTTTCCCAGCTCAGTCATGTATATTTCTCTCTACTTGTCGCACAACGGACATTCCGCAACAAAATCAACTCGGCCCTCGCACTCGGAGTCGCATTCACATTTACTTGAAGTCGTCGTCAAATTCCGAAATATTAACTCGTCGATGTCTCCAAGACCTTGTACCCAATCCAAAAATTGACCTTCAGAATTTATTGTCTCTGCATCAATCCACATGTAGTAGGTAATCCTTGAACCCTATCCCTTCTTTCATCATTCCGTACACATCAAAACCCTCCTTATCCTGCTGGGTGTCTCTGGTTAGATTCTGTTCTTCTCACTCGGCAAAAGCAACACGTACGTTTTTCTTGAACCCCTAAGGCCCATTCGATAAAGCTAACCCAAAAATAAATGTGATCCAGCCGGGTGCTGATGAGCTCTGACCATATCTTTTATTCGATAAAGCTACACCATTAGAACAGTCAGCGCTGACTGGTCTAATGGTGTAGCTTTATCGAATAAGGCCTACCGTTTCCAATAGAAAAAAAAATCTATGAATCGTTTTCGTACTCCTTTTTCCATCTATCTAGTCTACAACCTTTACCGCTTCGTGACTTGCCTACCCATTTTCTTGTTTGCCTACTTCGCCTGCCAAGGTATTCTCGGCAACCTCTCCTTTCCGATATCACACATACATACGGTACTGCCATTTTAGCTTCGATGCGTCTCGCGCGGAGGGGGGGGCGGGGTGCCCGATTAAACTGCTGGTGTTGAACACGCTATTACACTCCTGAAATCCATCCATTCATCAGAACGAAATGTCTGTGTCCTCTTTATGGGGTAAATTGCGCAGCACTAAGAGCAATAACTCCGCGTATCCTAGGTGGATGCTTGTTTTAAACAAGAACTTGGAATGCAACAACATGTATGTGCTCAGTTTGAGGCAACCAACAAGCGTCGAGCCTCACGCCAAATAAGCGGTTCTTATGTGGTGACGCGTTCTGTACTCCGCACAGTATACCGTAAGGGGCGGAGATATAGCACACACATAGAGCGACCTTCAAAACTCGATTGCTCCACAACCAAGCGGGTGACGAAGGTTAGGGGTAGGGTAAAGATAGTTCTACGTGAAGCCTCGACGATATGCTTATATACTTCCAAACCGTTATTCTTGGTGCAAAAAATCAAGAGCTTTGACATTCGATCTACGTGGAGGAGTGTCGTCATCTCTCTCTCTCTCTCTCTCTCTCTCTCCGCCTCTTTCGGATTGTTTCTGCTTTCTGCTTTCTGCATGGAGATGCGCATTTTTTTTCTGCAATCAAACGATTCGGCGTCGGCATCAGGTTTACCATGATAGTATTGTAGTTACCGTTTTTCTCGACCTTTCACACCTCTACGACCATGGGTGTGGCTGATGCGCCGCTTCCTTGGAAAATATGCACAACATGGAAGAAAGACTACTTGCAGGACATCCGTTCGCGATAAAACCCCGGTCTTCCCTTGGAACTGACGACAGAGACATGAAGGGGCGACACAGTTTCTGACTTGTACCCCAATGCCAAAATGGGGCTCTTTCACCAGAAAAAAATATGCATAAAGGATTTTGATTCAACAGGGGAGGAAAAGTCCCACTAATTGCCTACTTCCCAGACTTGGAGACCAAACCACTTACCACGGTGTAGAACTGGAGGATTCGAATTTGGAGACAAAAGCATAAATTATCGAGTCCGACCGTATGCGTACATGAAAGCTTCTGGCACACGAAGGAGATTATAAGTACAAGCAGGAGGTTGTATACAATAAAAGTGACAGCGCGTACGTACGTAACCTAACGTGTTTAGACCGTAAAAAAAAACAATTTTTTCTTGCTTCTCTTGAAAAAACTTGCCGCCTTCTTCCTTCAACTGCTACCCGCGGCAACAACAGAAGCACTCTCCGACGTCGACTCCCTTCTCATCAGCCGGGTCGATTTCGATCTTGACTTCGAGGGGTTCTTCCCGGGCTCCCAAACTTTGTCACTCGCAACGGCAGAAGAATCGGAGCGGTCGCTTGCATCGGGGGCCCTACTACCGTTGGTATCGCCGCCGCCGCCACCGCCGTCGCCTTTCCGGCCCCGTTTCGCGTGAACCAATTTCTGCCGAGCTTTTTCTTGGTCGGGCCATGTGAGCGAGTCCCAACTATGTTGCTGTCGACCAGGAGATGGCAAGCCCTTGTCCCCACCCTCGTCCCCGTTTTCTGCCTCAGGTGGCGCCACCATGCCTGCCGCTGTTGGATTGAGGAAGGAAGCACTACTCGCAGAAGCCCGTTTCTGGTCTTCGGCCGGGCTTTTTTCTGTTGAACCTGCTTCCGTCTGGCTAGCCTCGCCATCTTCCCCGCTATTCGCTTGTTGTGTAGTCTTATCACTGTGCTCGACCCCGCTTCGTCCCTCACCGCGAGCACCGCTTTCTTCACTACCATCCCTCCCGTGCTTTTGATCGTCGTCGTCGTCGTCGCTGTCGTTGCCGTGGCCACCCCCAACCGGCCGCATTCCCGCCCTTCCGTCTTCTGCTCCTTCTACGGCTTCTCCTGTTGCTGCTGCTACTGCTGCTGCTGCTGCTATGGAGAGTGAATCTTCGACTCTCAGCTGCGGCTCTCCCACCGCTGCCGATGCTGACGTCTCGCCAAGTGAGTCGCGGGGAAGGCGACTCACTCTACCCGGCTCACCAAACTCCGTGGTCTGACCTACCATGCCCTTGTCGCGAACGGTCGCGCGGCCACCGGCCCCCCTCCCGCCGCCGGCCCTCCCCACTTCCCTCGGCAGCCTTGCGCTGCTGGCGCCGCCGCGATTTGGTTTCCCCGGTGGCGGAGCGGCCGCCATCGGTGCCACCACCAGGGGATCGTAACCTTTGTCCCCTCGCAAGAGAATCCGTCCCTGCGCATCCCGTTGTCTGCTATGCTTTCTGACGGGGAGCGAGTTCGATATGGCGGCCGGTGCTGCCGGCGCTGGCCGGCCCTGCGCGGCCGTTGCAACCGGTGCCTCTCCAGTCGCGGCGGCGGCGGGCGTGGCTTTCGTCCGCGTCGCTGTGGAGCTACCGCCGTCGTCACGGGTTCTCTTGGTCGCCGCCGTCTCGCCATCTGGCGTAGCCCTCGTTGCTTTGGCAGTCCTCGGGCTCTTCGCCGGGGCTGACCCCGCGGCGGGTTTTACCGTCGTCGTGTTGGCGCTTGTATCAGGCGTCGGTCGCGATGCCGCCGTCGACACCGCCGGCCTTGCTATTCTGGCGGAGCTGTTGCCGAGAGTTGCTCCCCGGCCCGCGCCTCCGCCCCCCCCCCCTCCCCTTCCCTCTCCCATATTGTGAGGCCTTCGACCTGCCACTCCTCCGCGTACACCCCTCCCGCCGCCGCCGCTCCCCCGGTCGTTCTGCGTGGTGTTGGTTGGACGAATGAAGCAAGGCGTCGTCAAAGAACGGTGTGCGGAGACTGCGGGACTNGCGCCCCCCCCCCCCCCCCCTCCCCTTCCCTCTCCCATATTGTGAGGCCTTCGACCTGCCACTCCTCCGCGTACACCCCTCCCGCCGCCGCCGCTCCCCCGGTCGTTCTGCGTGGTGTTGGTTGGACGAATGAAGCAAGGCGTCGTCAAAGAACGGTGTGCGGAGACTGCGGGACTCGGGAAAGAAGTGTGTAGGGTGGTCGGCATTGCAGGAAGGCTTCTTAAGTAAGTATGAACAATGCTTTGACCTGTGGGCCGCTCGCTCCCCTCATGCCAGAGCATGAACTCTCGGGGGTTAGGATCGAGATCAACCGTCGTTACAAAGCATATGCTGGGAAAGCCGTGCGCAACCGTGCCCCCCCTCTCCCCCCACCCGTCCTCCTCCGGACGCACGTCCTTCTGGCTGCCCTCAATCGGCCCAGAGGCGCTTGATTCCGCCCACGGTACCGCAGAAACGTGATTGCAAAGCGGCCGGGTGATGGCGGCGCCTCTCCTGGGAGAAGGCAGCAACAGCGATCCGCCTCGGACAAGTTGGGCGGTCGACGACGCGAAAAACCGACTGATCAAGGGCAACCCAGCAAGAACAACGGAGTGAACCCCATACCCACTCCCCGACTCCGTCCTCTCGAGGGCGGTCTTCACAACAAATGCATGAAAAACATGAGTACCAACCCCCCCTCGCAACACGTATCGTCGCACCGGTGACTTCAGCTGAACCCGTTCGAAGAATTCTACCCGTTCCACCAGGGCCTCGTTCACCCTGCGCAGGTGCATCACTTCCTGCCCCAGGTCTCCCGCTGCCGTCGCCGGGGTGGTCTCCGCACCCCCCGTGCCGACTCCCGCTACCATCTCGGCGCGCGACTCTTCTTGCCGTTCTCTCTTATCTGCTGCCGACGCCGCCAAGGGGGGCTGGGCGCAACCTGGTGGTGGGTGTTGGTGTTGAACCCCGTCACTCGCGCCGTTTAGGTCTGCCTCTGTTGTTGTTGGTGTCGAGAATGGTGCCTGGGTTTTGGTGGAGGAAGTTGGTAGTTGTTTGCGATCATCGTGGAGAAAGGAGGCAGGAAGGAGGGGGTGGAAAAGAAGAAGTACGCAAGGTACATCCACAAGCGAGACTAGATCAGCATATCTCGCCAAAATCATTCAGTGTGGCCTACGTATGGCCTCCTCCCCTTTGCTTTTTTGTGGCCCTGCTGCTTTTTTCCTGGATCACCTACAAAAAGAGGTACTCGGTCCATAGCCATACAAGGAGCACGAATATTAAAAATAGTTGTAATAAACTTTATAGCCCCTAAAATAGAAGCTGCACCTGATAAGTGAAGACTGAATATAGCTAAGTCAACAGAATGGCCTGAATGAGCTTGAATCTCACCTAATGGAGGAAAAACTGTCCACCCTGTACCTGCCCCTGATTCTACAAAAGAAGAGGCTAAAAGAAGAACAAAAGAAGGCGGCAGTAGCCAAGAACCAAGAACATTCATACGAGGGAAAGCCATACGAATCCAACGGAGCACGTTTTCCCCGGTTGGATTCTGTCCGTCACGAATTTTTGCGCGCTTTTTGCACAACAGCTAGCTTGCCTTTCCAGCGCCGCTGAAGCTTCTTTGCAACCGTTCGACCGTGCGCGAAAGCGCGTCGTTCTCCACCAGCGCCTGGCGGGTCTGCTTGCCGATCTCCTGCTCCTTGTGCTGCGCGTAGGCCGCCTCGTTTCTGAGACGGTGGCACTGGAGGAGAGGACCAGAGGCAGCAGCACTAGCATGAGCACCACTGAACAACGAGCATATGTTCCTACTAAACTAATCCTGTTCGCCATGATGCTCTGTGCCGCGAACAATGTTCTCTGGGGCCTCGTCACAAGCTGCTCAAAACTTTGAACTGGACACCAGGTAGAGTGCTCACACATACATGCACCCCCAACTGACAATAAGTGCTTCTATTCTATCGGCCACGCCAAGTTGTGCCCCCCACCCCGGCAAAAATCAGCGAGTGAAGGCCGGCCGCACGGAAGCTTCGCTTTACCTCCTCCTCGTACTTTCGTAGGAGAAGGGCCACGTCCCGACTGGCCTGACCGATCTGTGCAGTCGCTGGCTCTTGCTTCTGTGCCAGGCTTCTATCCTCAGGGACCGCCGCTCCCCCGCCCCCGCCGCCTCCGTCAAGGCTTCCTCCCTCTGCCGCCAGCTCTAAACCGTTTTGTGAAAAAGCATCTGGCGCGAACAGCCCGCCACCTCCGCCGCCGCCGTTGTCACCAGAGAACACTCCAAGCGTCTCGCCTGCCCCCCCGGAATACAGTCCAAGCAACGGCTCGTCCTGCTGCTGCAGCTGCCGCTGCTGCTGCTGTCGCTGGAGTTGGTTTCTCCTCAGCAGCTCGTTCTCTTCGCGGAGCAGGTTAACCTCCCGGCGCAAGCCGTTGATGAGCCTCTCCCTGGCGTCCACCCGGACCAGCGGCCGGTTCCGGATGTTCCTCGCGCGCGCCGCGTAGTTCAGCGTGGCCGCGGATTCCTCGGCGTGCCTCACAGATGGGGACACGCACGCGACCATGAGCGTGAGCCCGTTGCCGCCGAGGCTGTCCATCAGGAGCTTGGTCAGCGTTGAGTCGCGGTACGGGACCCAGATGTCCGAGACCCCCGCCGGCGCCGATTGGTCCACCACGACCGCCGACGTGCCCGCTCCGGTGCCACCGCCGCCGCTCTTGTTCGCGGCCGAGGCGCCCCTGCTGTTTGCGCCGCTGTCGGCGGCGGTTGCGGTCGCCGGGAGAGTCAGGTTGTCGATGACGCCGGCCATGCCGGCGGCGGCGGCGGCGGCCTCCAACAAGACCGACGTGTGCGCCGGCGCGGCCGCCGCCATCGCGCTCCGCTTCGAGAGGGCGGAGATGACCTTCCCCAGGGTCATGAGCGACTTGTTGATCGCCCCCGTCTCCTTCTCGTTGGTGGCCTTGGACTTCTTAAGCCGCTCGCTCCCGGCCAGGTCCACGAACGACACCTGGTCCGGACGGGGGGGAAACACGTACCGGTTTCAGATCGCACCCCGCCATGCTTGGGTCGCCCGGGGACCGATTGGGATTGGTTGACTCGCGGATCGCGCGGGATTATTTTTTCTCATCCGCCAATGCATGCTATTGGACATCCTCCCCGCCCTTTTACGCGATTACTGGCTTTGTCTGCAAGCAGGATTTTGCAGAGAACCATGAAGAGGCCCCCTTTGGGGGGGGGACACGTGGCAGGCACACAAAACGGCACGCTGCGGCGCTGGCTGCTGCTCAACTTCCCGAACTGCTTGACCAGGTGCCCGTCCTCTGGGTCCTTCCGCTCGCTGTCGAGGTACACGGTCAGGAGCGAGTGGCTCCGGCTGGAGTCCTTGTTGAGGAGGTGTGAGGACACCCGGCGGTTGCCGTTGCCCTCGTCCACCACGGCCATGATGTCGTGGAGCCCGCGTATCTCCACCTCGAACAGTCCCTGGACGAAGAACCCACGCCTCACGTCGTATCGCACCTGCTCCGCCACGCCACGCGGCGAACGATTTTTCAGAGATAACAGCCCACTTCTGTCTCTCTGTTGCGCACAGTGCAGCTCAGCAATGCAGGAAACGACGAAGGGTGAAAATTACTGCCTTTTGCTACCATACCAAGGAAAAGAGGTAAGGATGCATACAGAAACATTCCAGCAGAAGGTTTTGTCGCGTCTCTTTCGCGTGAAGGAAAGGTGTGTTTTCGTGGTGCGGCCGAGGTAAGCACACCTGAAGGGGGCGGCGATCGCCCTTGGTGAGGAGGTCGTACACGACCTCGTTGTAGATCTCGTAGAAGGACGCGCGTATTCTCATCGTCACCGCGGGCGGCAGCGCAGACACCTGCTGGAAAAGGAACCGCATCGATCTCGGAACCAGGCCCTCGGTTCCGTCGCTAACGCCGGCGGCGGGAGCGGCGCGGCCGGGGGCGGCAGGCGGTGGAGCCTTTCCCCGATTATTTCCGGGTCGAACGCGACCGCCGGGGCCCCGGCTGGGTCCGAGAACCTGCTCGCGGCCCGACATAGTGTAGGTCTTGCCTGCACCTGTCGCCCCGTACGCGAAGACTGTTCCTGCCCATCCGTGTACACGTGGTGTAGGTGTGTGGTTGGGGTGCAAGCGAAAGGGGGGCATGGTTTCACGGGCACAAGGTGGGCAAGAGAAATGGGACAGTTATCCGAAAAGAACCAAAGCTCGCAGGCAGATACTTCGAAAGACCTACGAAAATTACGTCTGCTGTAGGGTCGAAAACATGAAAGAAATGTTCTACAATGGCAACGGTGAAATACTGTGCGTACCATGAGCAATGAGGAGTACTATTTTACACTGAATGACCTCCGTCGCCGCGCACAAGGCTGCTCTTGGAGGATAGGCAACTTGAGGCTTACCCTGGCTACGCCTACAGGTCTACTAGATTACGCTCCCTTCTGTGTGGCCCCTAGGTTTTTCCGTAGATACGGTACGACCATAGGGAAGGGTAGAGACACCGAAAGCGGCGGCGGCAAACAGGAAGGCCGTCTCTGAAAGCAAGATACGAGCTCAAGCTTATCGCGTCCTGCAGCAGTCGTTGCCCGCACACCTGCATATCCGTTGATAGCCGCGCTCAGTAGCGGCATGAGTCCACAGGATTGGAACATCTCTTCCTGGTTGAAGCCTTCGTGAGCACACAGATCGAAGGTATACTGGCGGCTCCCCTCTCCTACCACCCCTCCCCCTCCTGCCCCTTCGCTTCCACTGCCCGCCCCGCCACCCGCCGCCGTCGCCGCCGCGGGGGCAGAAGCTGCAAGTGCCGGTGTACTCGTGAACTCAAGCGCCTTTGGGTTGCAACACCTCATGGTCCTTTCGCCCCCCTTTGCATCTTCCTCCTCGCCTAGCGGTCGCACCCGTACTACCACCCTCACTCCTCCCTCCTCGTGTGAACCGCCGCCGCCGCCGCCGCCGCCGCCGCCGCCGTGGCTGCTGCTGGATCCCCCGATGCTGCCCGACCTAGAGCGACCTGACACCGATCCGGAGCCTGTGGATTGCCGGCCCGGTGTTTGATGCCGGCTTGGCGTGGACAGGCCTGACATTGTGCTTGCTGTTGGCGCCATTGTCATCCCTATCCCAAACCCTGTTGATTGTTTCGATTGGCGTCGGTGGAAGTGCCCAGGCGAGCGGCCGCCTACTCTCCGCTGCTGCCTCTGGGCAGGGCGCTCCGGGGCCCTGCTGTTCTTGTCGCCACCATGGCCCTGAGAAATAACCATCCTATGAAGACTAAAACTATTCACACAGCTTCGTTGCCAATTCTGAAAACTATCTGGGTTTTTGAGGTGCGCGTTCCCGGCGACTCTCTCCCGCCGTAGTGCTTCCCCTGGCCGCACAGGCGGTGTTCGATGTTACCGGCATTCGGGCACTCCTGCCCTGCCGTCTGATGCAAGACATGCAGTAGACGGCACAGACGTGCAGCAAGGGTTAGGGCGGGGGTAAGAGGTTCAGCCTACACGTTGCAGCAGAATCGCATCCTCGGCATCGGTAAAAACGGTTCCCTGCGTCCTCGGGGTAGGCCGTCGAGGGCCGAGGGTCTACAGCTACAGTAGCTGTCGACAGTTTCATACGTCAGTAAACCGCCTCAACCATTTTTACCAAAACTGGGCAAAGAGTCACTTAGCTTGCTTTGCGTCGCCACCTCTCTCTCGCTCGCGGCGGACATAGGGATAGACATGACATCGTCATATTGGTGCTCAGAGGTGTCAGATTCGACGACCGTTTGCTGCGGCCATGGCTCCAAGGCATCTTGTTTAGCTCGGGGCTTGGAATTCACAAGGGCCTGAAACCCCCTGTGAGGTGATATTGACGACGGATTGCGATGGCACAGCAGTCTCTTGCCAGGGTATATCTCCTCCGAGCGGCTACCTTCGTACAGAATTCAACTGCGAAGGTGAGCAGAGGCTGACGAACAGCGGTAGTAGATAGGGCCGGAGAATGAGCCGCGGATTACCTCGAAATCCCTTGCGGTGGTCTGTGTCTTCGACTGCTGCAGCTGCGATGCTGGCCTACACACTACCGTCGCGGCGGCGAGAAGAAAAAAATGGTTTCCCCGCAGCATTTTCGGCCTTTTTTTTTTTGGAAATCGCGGCACTACGAAAGGTTGAGATGCAACGATACCAACCGTGGCGTAGCCCCCAGGAGGAAAGTCACCAAACTCTTGTTGTTGTTGTTGTTGTCTTCACATTAAAAACCATCCCGGTCTCTCTATCCAGT